AAAGAACCACTTTGCAAAGTATTGTATGAGCAAAACTCAACAAGTGCAAAGGAAAACACAGCCTTTCAAAAGACATGTTAGGCCAATTACAACAAAATCAGTGAATAAAGCACAAAGTGATTCTGATTCAGATTTTGATTACCTTTATGCTGTGAAACAGAAGAAAAAACCTGGTAACGCTGTTACTGCCAAAATCAGTGATTACAAATGTGATTTACTTGTGGACACAGGAGCCTCAGTAAATATTCTTGATGAAGAAACATTTAGTCAGATACCATCAGATCCTAAATTAGAGAAAACAACAGTTAAAGTGTACCCATACAACAGCAACAGCCCTGTGACATTGTTAGGAAAATTCCAAGCCACTGTGGAGACCAAAAAGCGCATTACTGTAGCCACATTTTATGTCACAGAAGGGAACTCTGGTTCACTATTAGGTTCAGAGACATCCCAAGAACTTGGTCTTGTTACATTTCATATCAATCCAATGGTTTCAAAAGTGAAAGATAAAAATGTGAAACCACAAATTGCTTCCACCTGCTCATGGATTCCTATCAGATCTACCCATGATAAATCAGTTGATGCTGCTTTACTTGCAAATAAAGAAATTTTTAGAGGAATAGGAAAGTTAGATGGAGTTCAAATTAAATTAAACATTGATGAAAATGTAACTCCAGTTGTTCAAAATACCAGACGCATACCATTCCACATCAGAAAGCAAGTAGAAGAAGAATTGCTAAGTCTGGAAGCACAAGGAATAATAGAGAGAGTGCCAGAGGGGCAAGCAACCCCTTGGATATCCCAGATAGTTGCAGTACCAAAGAAGGACAATAAGTCAATTCGGATTTGTGTTGATATGCGTTCAGCAAACACAGCCATAAAAAGAGTTAGGCATGTCATGCCCACAGTTGACGAAATTATGGTACAATTAAATGGAGCCAAATTCTTTTCAAAGATTGACCTTAGTCAAGCTTACCATCAATTAGAATTGCACAAAGATAGCAGATATATCACTACATTCAGCACGCACATTGGTTTATTCCAATACAAAAGATTGAACTATGGCACGAATGCAGCTGCTGAGTTATTTCAACATACATTACAAGAAGCTTTAAAGGGTATAGATAATGTCAGAAACTTAGCAGATGATATTATCATTTTTGGCAAAACCAGAGCAGAGCATGATAAAGCATTGAATGAATGTCTTGCAAGATTAAAGGCAAGAAAGCTCACAATAAACAGAGACAAATGTAAATTTTTACAACCAGAACTTTCATTCTTTGGTATGGTATTTTCAGAAGATGGTGTCAAGCCAGATCAAAAGAAGATTGCAGATTTAGTAGATGCTCCTATACCAAACAATGCATCAGAAGTGAGAAGTTTATTAGGAATGGCAAATTTCAGTGCAAAGTTCATACCAAATTTTGCAGATATAACAGAACCACTGAGAAGATTAACTCACAAAAACATTGTATTCAAATGGGAGAAAGAACACTCACAAGCATTTAAGAAACTCAAAGATGTTCTGACAGACAGTCCAGTTATGACATATTTTGATATTGAAAAAGAAACATACCTGATTGTAGATGCCAGTCCCATTGGTATTTCTGCAATTCTTGCACAATCAAACAAAGATGAGCCTCAAAAAGTGATTGCATATGCCAGTAGAGCACTTACCCCTGTGGAGCGTCGATACTCACAAACTGAGAAAGAAGCACTTAGTATTGTGTGGGGTACTGAGCATTTTCATATGTATCTTTATGGAAAAAGTTTCAACCTGATAACAGATCACAAGCCTTTGGAGGTGATTTATGGGAACCCTAAATCAAAACCATCATTACGCATTGAAAGATGGGTGCTCCGCTTACAGCAATATTGTTTCAAAGTTATTTACAAGCCTGGAAAAGATAATCCGGCTGACTTCATGTCAAGATATCCTACAACAGTCAGTGTCAAAGAAAACATGGCAGATGAGTATGTGAGATATATAACAATAAATGCGATACCAAAAGCCATGACCATAGAAGAAGTACAAAGAGAGACAGAAAAGGATGGGACACTCCAAGCAGTCATAAAAGCAATTAAAACAGGAGATTGGAGTAACCAGTTTTTAGTACCTTACAAGTTAGCCAAAGATTCATTGACAATAAATCATGCAAATGGAATTATTTTGCGGGGAAACCAAATTGTCATGCCTAAATCACTATGGAAAAGATCAGTAAAACTAGCTCACGAGGGTCACCAGGGCCTTGCTAAGACTAAAGCCCTGATCAGAGAAAAAGTTTGGTTTCCATTTATTGAAAAATTGGTAACAGAAGAGATTAATAGCTGTTTACCTTGTCAAGCAGTGGGAACACAAAAAGCACCAGAACCATTGCGAATGAGACCTATGCCATCTGGACCTTGGAAAAAACTGCATATTGACTTTTATGGACCACTTCCAAGTAGTGAGTATGTACTTGTTATTGTAGATGCTTATTCTAGATTCCCCATAACAGAAATTGTAAAATCTACTGCTGCTTCAACCATTATTCCAAAATTAGATCAAGTTTTTGCAATGCATGGACTTCCTGAAGAAATAGTAACAGACAATGGTCCACCATTTAATGGTGATGATTTTAAAAGATACTTGATGACTCTAGGAATAAAGTTTGACCCTTCTACACCATTATGGCCCCAAGGGAACTCAGAGGTAGAGAGATTTAACCAACCTCTAGGAAAAGCAATTAGAGCTGCATGTATAGAAAATAGAAATTGGAGACAAGAACTTCAAAGATTTTTATTGAGTTATAGATCCACCCCACATGCAACCACAAAGATTGCACCTTCAGAACTGTTATACAATAGGGTCATTAGAGGGAAACTACCTTGTTTAATCAAGACAAGTAAATCTAAAAGACACAGAGAAGCTCAGGAAAATGATGCAGTAGGGAAAGAGAAGATGAAAAGCTATGCAGACAAAAGAAGACACACAAAGATTTCTGATATCAAAGTTGGTGATACAGTTTTGTTAAAACAAGATAAAAAGAACAAGTTTTCTGCAAACTTTGAAAGCACTACTTACAAAGTTATATATCGTAAAGGTTCCAGAGTAACAGCAGAAAGACAAGATGGAAGGAAAGTCACTAGAAATATTAGCTTTTTCAAAATGTTTAGTAAGAAAGATGATGATGATGATGATTTGTCTGATGATGACAATCACAAAAGAACAGAAACAGTCGAAGAGAATAACAGAGAAAACAGATATCCTCTTAGACAAAGGCGAATGCCTGAAAGATATGGAACAGTTGTAGCAACAGACTAGGAGGAGAATTTATTTTATTTCTTTATTTTTATTTTTAAATACTATGCAAAGAGAACAGGACTCAAAGAACAAACACGTTATGTTATGTTTATGTTGTCAAAAAAAAAGGGGGAATGATGTAATGTTTTATGATTATAATTATTATCACATATGTAAGACCCCGGCCCCCCGGAATCTAAGTTAGAGTTGATACACGAGGCAGACAACAAAATGGTGTACTATCTGCGTTCACTCTTCAATATCCGACA